ACTTAATCTATTGATATTGAATGATAACACTCTTGACATTCATAGTGCTTAAACTCAAAATCCTAAAAATAATTATAATTATTTTATTACTGATGTTGCTTGGTTCGTGAAGAAATAAAATATTATTAAAATCAACATAAAGTAGATTTAGAAGATGTGGCCTACCTCTATTGCCAGAATGAAAACACACAGAAGTTACCGTATAAGGAAATTTGTCGCTTAACCCTTGCTTCTTTCCATTCATTGGGTCTGAATACGACGTGGAAGGTTGCAACTTGCAATTGGATTTTCCGTAGCACAAAAAAGGCGCGGGACCTCACGATGCACTCTTCACAAGAAACGGTGTCGTTGTGGTGTTTATTCCCGAGAGTAAAATATCCAATGAATTGAGGATGACCGGAATTAAACGATCCAAGAACATGGTGCACAGCGCCTATGATTCCTTCCAGCTCCTCACCGGCTGTCCTAATAAAATCGACGCCATCGAATCCTACGGCTCGAAGCTGCTTCTCGGTTGCTCCGATGGTTCCCTTCGAATATACGGTTCGGATCCCTCTGCTGATCGATCTCCTCCGTCCGATCCCCACGCCTTGCGGAAGGAACCTTACTCGCTGGAGAGAACCGTTTCTGGGTTGTCGAAGAAGGCTCTGATTTCAATGCAAGTACTGGAATCGAGAGAGCTACTGTTATCACTCTCTGAATCGATCGCTTTTCATCGCCTCCCCAATTTGGAAACCATTGCTGTGATCACCAAAGCTAAAGGCGCTAATGTCTACTCTTGGGACGATCGTAGAGGTTTCCTTTGCTTTGGTAGGCAAAAGAGGGTCTGTATCTTCAGGCACGACGGTAATTCCATGGAATCTCTCCTCCTTTTATTTCTTTCCCAGTTACAAATAATTTTAATTTTTTGATTTCTCAAGGAAGGGAATGAAAGCCAAATATTTTCTTACAATGTACTATTTCTGGACATGAATTTACGATAATATAGAATGATATATTAAAATTGGTATGCCTATTGAATCATCTTTTTACTTTTAGCTAATTAAGGTTTTATTAATCAAAAAGCAAACGGCACAGGTAACAAACAATCAAACAAGCCTTATTGATGTGATCTCCTGATTTAGATTTGATAAAAGACTGGTAACTGTTGAATGAAATTGATCCGAAAATTAATTTGCAGGAGGGCGAGGGTTTGTGGAGGTAAAAGATTTTGGTGTACCAGATACAGTGAAGTCTATGTCATGGTGTGGCGAGAACATATGTCTAGGAATTAGAAAGGAATACGTGATACTAAATGCCACAAATGGTGCATTGTGGGAGGTGTTTTCTTCTGGGAAGATAGCACCACCTTTGGTCGTTGCTCTTCCCTCTGGGGAACTTATTCTTGGGAAGGTAATGACTTAGTTCCATAACTTATTTACAACATCATAGATCTTTTAGCTATATAATAACATCCTGCTCTCACTTAGGAAAATATCGGTGTCTTTGTGGATCAAAATGGAAAGCTTCTTCAAGCTGATAGGATATGTTGGTCAGAAGCTCCTACTTCTGTTGTCATCCAGAAACCATATGCAATAGCTCTATTTCCAAGGCGTGTTGAGGTAGGTCTGATTAAATGCTAAAGAAAGTGAGCTTTTGCTTATATTAATAATTAAGCAGTTTCATTTATTTATTCTTTGCAGATTCGCTCTCTTAGAGTTCCTTATCAATTGATACAGACTATTGCGCTCCCTGGTGTTCGCCGTCTTATAAAAAGTAACAATGCCATTGTTGTAGCCTTAGAAAATTCTGTTCATGGACTCTTCCCTGTTCCTCTCGGTGCACAGGTATTCCTAGCATGCTAAAGAATTTTAATCTTCTCATATGAATTTTGATCCTTCCTTTTCCTTGTGCTCTAACATCAAAGTTTTCTCTAACTTGAAATGCTTTGAATGTTGCAATGAAAGCTTCCAACTTGCTTTGCAGATTGTCCAATTAACAGCATCCGGAAATTTTGAGGAAGCATTGGCTTTGTGTAAGTTGCTTCCACCAGAAGATGCAAGTCTTAGAGCTGCAAAGGAGGGATCAATTCATATGAGGTGGATTTTTCATTATTAACAGTGATTGTTAAGTGCAGTTTATCAAGTTTAATAAGATTTAATGAATCACTCACAAAGCTTATATTTATTTTAATATACCACATTATCATCGTACATCTTTTAGAAAAGTTCCACATGGCCATGCTCTATTTTGTCAAGAAATTATAAAAAAAAAACACACAGCATAAGAAACCTCTGTTTCTTACTAGGAAACTGCATTTTCCCTGGTATATAATCAAAAATTTCAATAGGTTATTCTGGTTTATTGTATGTTCCTCAAGTTATAAATTCTAGTTAAACGGTCGTTTCTGCAGGTACGCTCATTATCTTTTTGACAATGGGTCCTATGAGGAAGCAATGGAGCACTTTGTGGCATCTCAAGTAGATATTACGTATGTTCTTTCTTTGTATCCATCCATTATTCTTCCCAAAGCAACTGCAGTGTCAGAGCCAGAGAAGCTGGTGGGCCATTCTCTGGATGCTCCACACCTTTCAAGAGGCTCATCTGGACTGTCTGATGATCTGGAAACCTTTCTCCCACCATCAGAGTCTGATGATAATTCCGCACTCGAGTTCAAGAAAATGAGCCACAATACTCTCATGGCTCTTATTAAGTTCCTACAGAAGAAGAGATACAGTATTGTAGAGAAAGCTGCCGCTGAGGGAACTGAAGAGGTAGTTTTAGATGCTGTTGAGGATAGTTTTACTTCGTCCAGGCTTAAGAAATCAAGTAAGGTGAGGCCAATCTCAGTTTTTGTAAATGTCAATATTTTGTTACAGCGAAGTTTATTTTGGGATTCTATGTCAATTCATAGATTAGAATTTGGCTTTTATGCAGAGGTGCATGATTGTATGGACGGGTAAAAAAACAATTGCTTCTGTTAATATCCATTTTTCCCCAAATTTTCAAAAATTTTATTATCTATTTCTATTTTGATGACCTAACACTATGCTTTGTCTCTTAGGGGCGTGTTAATGTTCCAATTAACTCAGCTGCCAGGGAGATGGCAGCTATACTGGATACAGCCCTCCTCCAAGCTCTGCTTCTTACTGGACAATCAGCAGCAGCTGTTGAATTGCTTAAAGGTCTTAATTATTGTGATGCAAAAATATGTGAGGAGATTCTTCAAAAAGGAAATCATTATGCTGCTCTTTTAGAACTTTATAGAAGCAGTTCGATGCATCGGGAGGCATTAACACTTCTACAGCAATTAGCAGAAGAATCAAAATCAAACCATTCGCAAGCTGAACTCATCCAAGAGTTCAGTCCTGAGGCAATTATTGAATATCTCAAGGTCAGATATCAGCTAGTGGGAAACTTGCTCTTAATGGGTGTTGAGTTGGATGCGATGGATAAAGAGAGACTGAAATTTGGTCCTGACTAATATGAGAAATAATGTTAATTTTGTTATGGCTCGGTCTCTCAGGCCATAATATGTTAGCATTAGGCACATGATTCCTACTATTGGAGCACAGGAACATGATCTAATAGAACTTCTATATGCTGAATACTTTATATTGTTTACTTGCAGCCCCTCTGTGGCACTGATCCCATGCTTGTACTTGAGTTCTCGATGCTTGTTCTCGAAAGCTCTCCAACACAAACCATTGAGCTTTTTTTGTCTGGAAATATTCCAGCAGACTTGGTCAACTCTTATTTGAAGCAGCATGCTCCAAACATGCAGGGCAGGTACTTGGAGCTCATGCTTGCAATGAATGAAAATGGGATCTCAGGGAACCTGCAAAATGAAATGGTAAAGACTCTTTCTGTTTTCTATAAAAATAACTCATTTCAGTTGTCATTTGTGTTGGTGATAGTGCCGCTGACGTTAGTAGCCATGACTATTCCAGGTACAAATCTATCTTTCTGAAGTACTTGAATGGTATTCAGAACTAAGTGCTCAACAGATATGGGATGAAAAGGAATATTCTCCAACAAGGAAGAAACTTGTATCTGCGCTGGAAAGCATCTCAGGATACAATCCTGAGGCTTTGTTGAAACGTCTTCCTCCAGATGCTCTATTTGAAGAGCGTGCGACTCTGTTAGGGAAAATGAACCAACATGAGCTTGCTTTATCACTATATGTTCATAAGGTAGTTTTGGTTTATATGAAACCTTAAAATTGTTGAATTTGATTGAACTAGGGTTAATATAATACACATTCTGTTAGGAAATAACTGCACAGGTATTATTTCATTGCAGCCTTTTTTTCTATCCTCCTGCCCCCACTTTTTTATATATATATATATCGTCTTCATTGTAAATATGCTCCTAGTAAATGGATTTCTCTTGACCTTTATAGCTTCATGTACCTGAACTGGCACTGGCCTATTGTGATCGGGTCTACGAGTCAGCTGTTCATCACCCACCGACAAAATCTTCTGGCAATATATACCTCACTCTGTTACAGATATATCTGAATCCTCAAAAAACAACCAAGAACTTTGAAAAGAGAATTACAAATTTAGTATCATCCTCAAATGCAAGCATCCCAAAGATTAGTTCAACAGCTTCATTTAAAACTAGAGGAGCACGAAAGAAAATTGCATCCATTGAAGGTGCAGAGGATATGCGTATTAGTCCCACCAATACTGATAGTAGCAGGAGTGACGGTGATGCTGAAGAATCTAGTGAGGAAGGAGGTTCTTCTATCATGCTTGATCAGGTGCTTGATCTTTTGAGCCGAAGGTGGGATAGACTCAATGGAGCTCAGGCACTCAGACTCTTACCGAGGGAGACTAAACTACAGGTATGCCCTAAAATCTTGAGTTGATTACAAAGATGTGGTTGCATCTTGGTGTATAAGTTCATTGATATCTAAGTTGTTAAGTTCTTTTTTCTTTTTGAAAAATAAGTTATTAAGTTTCGCTCTGTGCTTACGGTACCAATTATACACTTTCTTAAGTTATCTGCCTTCTACTTGTAGAACTTGCTTCCATTTCTTGGACCTTTTGTGAAAAAATCCAGTGAAGCATACAGGAACTTCTCTGTTATCAAGAGCTTGAGGCAGAGTGAGAACCTACAGGTATGTAAATTGTTTAAGCACATAAAATACCTTATACTGTTTGAGATTTCCTGTTAGACTGTGTACACGTGTGTGTGTGTGTGTGTAGTCATCAATACGGTGGGCTCCTCGGAAATTACTTTTTTCTTTTTTCTTTCTTCCAATCATGTATCTGAAATCCTATTTGAAACAGGTGAAAGATGAACTTTACAACCAAAGAAAAGCCGTAGTGAAGATCTCGAGTGACAGTATGTGCTCTCTGTGCAACAAGAAACTAGGAACAAGTGTATTTGCCGTCTATCCAAATGGGACAACACTGGCCCACTTTGTTTGCTTTAGAGATTCACAAAGTATGAAAGCAGTATCCAAAGTCTCACAACTAAGGAAGAGATGATTCTGAGTAGTAGGATGTATTTCTGTTATTCATGAAAAGATGATTCCTGCTCAAGTGCCAGAATCAAAGCTCAGAAACAGTTTCTGAGGCTAGGACTCGTAAACTGTGGATTTTATGCATAATTCGGGGTCAGTAATGCAGTTATGAAGTTGAAAGCAGTGGTTCAATGGTGTGACTAAGGAATGCTTCAGTTTGAGGATTTGTTATTTCTGTGAATGTAGATTCTGGGGCACTTATTCCCTCTATCCTTATTGTTCGAAGACCTTATTTCCAGGTACGTCCAATCCATGATCAACGTGGGTTTTGATACTTCTGTTGTTAAGTACTATTACAGTATGGGATTGGGGTAAAAATGATGCTCTTTAGATTTGAGTTTGATCGCCCTCAGTGCAATCAAATATTTTAAGGATATATTTTAAATTTCATCACCCAACTTTCTTATCACTTTTTTTTATAATTAAAATTTAAAAAATTTCAATGCACTCATTGAATTTTTTTTTGTTTATTCTTATTTTGATCACCCAAACATTAACTTAGAAGTAGAAAGGTGATATAACAGCCACATATGTTGATTTGGACTGTCTCGCTAACATATCATCCACATCATCCATGTTTTTTCTATCTTCTTTTTTCAAAACTAAATGTTTTACATTTTTTTTACTAGTTAGGCTTATGCTGAAATCACCATTCTCTGGTGTTGTCTGATCACTGAATATATTCAACAATTTTTTGTTTCGTTTTCTACCACTGTATTAATTTAGTTTTTCCCCCAAAAGCATTTCAAAATTCATGAAAGTAAACCTAAACGTGTAAAATTTCAACCACCACAATATTCACCTTTTAGTTAATGTGAAATTATGATATATAGTTCAACTTTTTACTCTACCCTTTCATCATTGGGATTTAGAAAAAGGTATTTTATCATCAAAAAATCAAAATAAATATAAATTCAAGAGTATTTTCATAAAAATAAAAAGATTGAGGTGACTAAAGTATAAATAAATATTGGACTTAAAAGATTTAAGTAATGAAATTTGGACTTAAAATAATTAAGTAATGAAATTTGCAATTGCCCATGTTTACGCCGCCAATGTCACATGGTTCTCTCCAATTTTTAAAGTTTACGAGGGCTCATTATGAGATAAGGGTGTAAACGAGTCAAGTTGATTTTGAGTATTGTTAAGTTTAAATTTATTTAAAAGTTTTAAAATGGAGTTTGGTGCAGTTTGAAAATTCACGAGTCTAAAATTTCAAACCTCTAACTCGAACTCAAAACCATAACCTAAAGCTTGAAAAAGCTAAAAAAAAAGCTCGAAATGAAAAAAATCGTAAACTTAACTTATTAAAGCTCAAACTCAAACTTAAACCTTACATACATTAAAACCTTATAATCCATTTTATAAAAAAATCAACACATAAATATTTAATATTATTAATAATTTAATTTTTAAAAAATATTAATATATTATATTTTCGAATTGTTCTTAAATTTTTCGAGTCGAGTATCAAATAGCTTGTTTCGGCTCGTTAAGAATTTGAGTCAAGATGGAGCTCAAGCCAAGTGTAATTGAGTTGAATATTTATCAAATTTGAACCGAATTGATCTTGAATACCTTACGATGTACCTTGTCTCATTTACAACCTCATTTACAGTAAAATTGAGGATTATTATATAATTTATATTTAATATTAATTGCCGAATATCTATTATATATTATATTCCTAAGTTACCCTCGTTGGCTTTCACTTGATTTTATCGACTGTTCGATGACGTTTTTTCCATTTGTAAATTTCATGATTATTTGAAAGGGATTCTATCCTATTAGTCCGTAGATTATACTGTCGCCTCAATTTTTGTTATCGAATTAATATTTTATCAATTTAATCAAATTAAGTTAAATAATTTTATAAATTATTAATGTAAAAGTTTTAAAATTAGTAAACGATATAAGATAAAGTATACAAATGATCTTTAAATTATATTAGAATACTTTTTAATTTCGAAGTTCTAGAAATTATAAAATGGTCATTAAACTTTATCAAATTATTACATAATGCTCATTAAATTTATCAAAGTATCACAAAATAATAATTACATTAATAAAAGAGAAAATAACCTCAGTGACCGAAAATGTCTTATAATATACGATTTTAACCAACTTTTTTTGATTTGCGAAAATAACCAACAAATTCGCAACGCGAATTTTCCAGATTCGCAACTCAGTTTTGTAATTCGCAACTCAATTTTGTAATTCGCAATGCGATTTTCTAATTCGCGATGCTAATTTCGAATTCACAATTCATGACGCTAGTTCCGAATTCGCGACGCTAGTTCCTAATTCGCGACGCTAATTTCGAATTCGTGACGCTAATTTTGAATTCACGACGCTAATTCCTAATTCGCGATTCGCAACGCGATTTTCCAAATTCGTAATGCGATTTTCTAATTCGCGATGCTAATTCCTAATTCGCGACGATAATTCCAAATTCACAACGCAATTTTGTAATTCGCAACGCGATTTTCTAATTCGCGACGCTAATTCCTAATTCGCGATTCACAACGCGATTTTGTAATTCAGAATTAGCGTCGCGAATTCGAAATTAGCGTCGCGAATTAGGAATTAGCGTCGCGAATTAGAATTAGCGTCGCGAATCCGGAATTAGCGTCACGAATTAGAAAATCGCGTTGCCAATCGTAAATTCGGAATTAGCGTCACGAATTCGGAATTAGCGTCGTGAATTAGAAAATCACAACACGAATTTAGAAAATCGCAACGCGATTTTGTAATTCGCAATGCGATTTACAAATTCGCGTTGCGAATTTCAAAACTGAGTAGCGAATCTGGAAAATTTGCGTTGCGAATTTGGAAACTGTGTTGCGAAATTGAAGTTCGCGTTGCGAACTTAAGATCAAATCCGAAAAAAGTTGGTTAAAATCGTATATTATAAGGCATTTTCGGTAACTGAGGTTATTTTCTCTTTATAAAATTATCATTATTTTATAACGTACAGTGAACATTATGTAACAATTCAATAAGTTTAACGATTATTTTACAATTTCTAAAACTTTAATGACTAAAAGATCATTTTAACATAATTAATGATAATTGTATACTTTATATAATAATATATTAGAGTACCAAAGAAGATAGAAGGGAAATAGGAGACGAGGAGAAATAGAAAAGGGATATGTTCACTGATTATAACAATATTCATGTCATTCCTTCTACTCTACGATGTATTTAACAACTAGGTACAGTAACCAACAAAGCTTTGAGGATGCCTTCTCTCACGTGTATTCTTCCTAACCGTCTGATGTTGAATTGTCAATGGTTGATGGGTGTATTGACTTGGCATAGCTACTGTTATGACTATTGGATCATAACATTGTACCTAATAATATATTTAATTTTTAATATCAGTATCTGTTAATAATTTAATCCTAACCTTGAATACTTTAACAATTATACAGTAATTTTTCTCTTTGCCTTCCATCATCATACCCACGTTCATCATAATACACTGTATTGTGAAATGTATGATCTTACCCATATTTATGTCTTCTGTGTATAGAATGGTGATCAAATGTCTTATATAAGAAAAATATTTTACCTAAGAAGAATGATGAGAAATCTTACCAGAAAATTAATTCCTGAAGAAACGAAATTACAATAAAGATTATTAAAAAATAGTTAAAATAACTGTGGGAAAATGGTAGTACGAAACAGCAGAGCAAATAACGGTGCAAAAACAAGAAACGTATTGAAAATTACAAGGTCCCACCAAGATTTGAACTCGGATTACTGGATTCAGAGTCCAATGTCCTGACCATTAGTATATTCGATAATCGCAACGCGCCATTAGTATCGCAACGCGTATTTTATTTTCAAATTCCAAACACGAATATAATATATCTCGTAATCGCAACTCTTAACCTAAAACCCTAAATCACAACTTAGCCCCATCTCCATCTCTCACTCTCTACGACGATATCCGTCCCCATCTCCGACGAAATCCATCCTCATCTCCGGCGAAATCCGTCTATCTCCATCTCTCAGAGCCACTCTCACAATCATTCACGATCAGAAATGAAAAATCAACCACCGAGGGTTAGTTTTCATAATTATTTTTATTTTGAAATTTTTGCATTATTATTAGGTTTTTTTTATTGAAATTGATGATAAGTTTACTGGTAATTTCAATAATAGATTAACCATTTCACTTAGATTGCTTATTAAATTCATTTGATTGCTGTCAATACTGCTAAACTGTTTAGTCTTTAACCCTATAAAGTTAGTATTTATCTTTTGATTGAAGTAATGCAATTCATTCAAGTTTCAATTTTAGACAATGACTATTTGAAACCGAGGATCGCAACGCGAAATGAAAATCACAACGACAAAATCGCATCGCGATTTTAGTTTCGCGTTGCGATTTTCATTTCGCGTTGCGATAGTCATTTTCGTGTTGCGATTTTCATTTTCGTGTTGTGATTTTAAGTTTCAGAAACTATTCTTCTTCTGCAAATTGAAACTTGAATGAATTGCATTACTTCAACCAAAAAACAAAGACAAATACGAAATTCACAGTGTTGCAAATTTAAGTTTGAAGAATAAACTACTACTACTCTTTATGTTTATTATTGTTTTTGGTATAT